TACGTCAGGCTCCTCTGTCCTGTTGACTTTCAGATATAGGCCTCTGAATTCTTGTATCGCTTTTGGAAATGAGACATAGCCACATAAATGATCTGGGAAATATTGGAGTGTAGATCTGAGAAATATTGGAATACCTTAAAATTTTTCCCTGCTTCCTCTCCCCCCAGCTCTCTGCTTGACTTCCTACGTACACCGCATTCACCTATGTCACACTGGTGTTATGAGGATAAATGCACTAAGCAAGCATTTGCCTGAATGCAGGATTCTCTTCTATACGCACAGCTGCTGCCAAACCATTGATATTGCTCCTTGCTTGACATTTTTTCTCCCCTTGGTCTTTCTATTGTCTGTAACTTTTGTCTTGTTCTTGTTTAACGGTGGTGTTTTCGGTCCTGGAGTCGCTGAGTCTAATGACACCGTTGCATTTGTGTTTGTTCTTGTGCTTGCCATAGGGACCTTGCCTTTTCAGCTCTCCTGCCCATTATTGGAAGGGTCTGTCTTGCACCTGCTTCCATTTAGTGTCGCCTCCAGTTATATGCTCTTTAATCATCCAAATTTCACTTAACAGGCTCTTCAATATTCGTTCTGTGACCACTTCTTTTTGGGCTCTTAACCAGAAAATACCTCTTACTGAGGGACATTCTCTAACTAAAAAATGCCACATCAAACCTTATTAGGAGGATGATATGACAATATATCTCCTTAGCTGTCATTTCCATATAGTCTAATAGTTGGGATTTTTTCAAAGGAAAAGAAAGGTAGCAATGAAGTGCAATTCCCCAACACACTTTTGCCTTAACTGCCCCCCCACCTTTTTAAACAAAGGCTTTCATTAGCAAACATGATAACATACAACTAAACGTGTGTTTGCTTTTAATTGTCTGGTTCCCCTGCAATATTTGCAGCCCACACAGGCTCATATCCTCCAGTTTCTGAAAATCAGAAATGGAAATGGACTATAAACACAAAGTGAAACCAGGCACTTCGTCTCACAAGTTGAAGCGGAATGAAGTGTGAAACAGTAAAAATTGAAAACTGAGTTAAATGTGTAATACTATTCTAGTTTTACAATGCAAGGACTTACTAATAACCCAGGCAAAGGTTTTCAAGTAACTTTTTCTGTTGCCTTTGTAAGATAAAGTTTGAAACTTAAATAGCTTGTTGTGCATTTGAATCAATAGAAACAAGTGAATGCTGAGCAAGCCTTGGACAAAAGATACATCCTTGCAAAATGGTTGTAATTTACAGCAAAAATTGAAGACTTCCTCCATCTTCCTCGTCTCTTTATTTTTCCCTCTCTGCCAGTCAGCTTGCAAAAAAACCCAGCACCATGTTAATAGAAACCTGGATTCATTGGTCTGAGACTAGACAAATTCGTTCCACTGCCACTGAGAACAAGCCTGTTCTTCCTCCATTTAGCCAAACACAAGCCCTAAGTCTTGATGGTTAAGAGCCAGTTGGCTACAGACAGTAGGTGTTTGCCCAAAGTGGCTGCCAAGGAATACAGTGCTGAAGGGCAGATTTGGGTTGGCAGACAGAGCTGGAATCTGTTTAGCCACGCTGACCAGCAAAATATATTTGGGACTGGCCACTTCCTTCATCAGAGCATATTTTGCAGAGCCACACAGATTTGTTCTGAGAGAAGTCAAATAAATTGCTATGCAAAAGGTTTAAAATAACGAGTGTTATTTATCTGAAAGGATGACTGGAGTTTGAGGATGGGGATGAGACTGAACCACAGAGCAGGAATTATTCTTATAACTGGTACAAAACTGACAGGGTCATGCAATCCTACTGGTCACTATAATGACCACTTTGTTTCTGTCTGCCCCTCTCTGCACCACCTATGCATGTGCATACTGGTTTCTGGCTTTCCGTGGCTCAGGAAGTGATCAGGACACCCGCTATGTAGAGTCCCTCTCCTTTCAGCGCTGCAGATTACATTGGGAGTCTCTGACTTTGCAGACCTGAAAAGTGCAGCATGTTACAGGGTTCAATCCAAAATGGTTTTTAGACAAAGCAACCTCTGAAAGGGCAGTGGGCAAGCCCTGGGCAGTCCCAGCAAAAGCCAGCACAGTCTGGGACCCTGGAAAGCCTCGTGGTTTTACAGGAAAGCACAGTAAATAAAGATTCAGTATCAGCTGCCCTCCTTTCTGGTTACGGTCACACTCCTGAGCTGGTGACTTCAGTTGTCATTGCCATAAGGGAGCAGTTATGTCACAGATACTGGACTGCAAGAGCAAATCTGACTGGAGGAGCAGACGGGTTAGATAAGTGAGAGCTTCTATTTGGATGAACAAATTCCTTGATTATCAACAGTGATAGGAAAGGAAATAGCCTCCGGTCAAAGGCAAACAACTGCTAGGATTTAGATATAATGCAATGTTCTCCCCCCAAAACTTCCCATGTATCTTCTTAAACTCTACTGCACTGTTGCTTTAAAGATAACCTGGTGAAAAGCAATGGAAAACCACGCAGGTCAGAGGATGCCCTAAATCCTGTCCTTTTGTGTGATAAAGGCCTTTCAACTTCCTCTCTTTTTTTCTCGTGTGTTGCGAGCACTGATAATCTTGTCTCGACAGCCCGTTTGGACATCTGAAACGTCCAAGTTCAGCTGGAGGATGCGAGACACCTCTTGGCTGCATCTGTTGGCAGGGATTTCCTCGAGCCTCAGCTTCCTGTAGAAAGGAACACGGGGAAAATGTCCTTGCTTTTCAGTGTTTCAGGCAAACTGTGTAGTATAATCGTGTCTGCTCCATAGGAAACTTCTCACACCAGATGCATTTGCTCTTCTGGCTTCAATGCATAGTTTGGGCACCAGAGCAAATGGACTGCCAGATAATTTTCTTTCATTTTACCGTTGCTTTTCCAGGGACGCACAGTCTAGTCTTGTCGCTAGAGCATGGGCCGAGCAATTGTGGGTTTTATTCATAGCTCCCCCATGACTAACTGGCTTCTGCAATCTTGGGCGAGTCATTAGTGGGCGCGCTGCTCCTCTCTATGCCATGGTAAACTCCCACAATAGGCCCTAATGGACTTTGTTTCCTCGTGTGTAAAATTCACATAATGGCTTTCTTGTACTTCAGCAAGGTGGCGTTTGGCTTAATAAATGTGTAGAAAGCTTTGGAAGAAAAGTGCTCTAGGGGGACAAATCTCGACTCTTCTGACATGATGGACAATGATTTCCTCATTCTGTTCCTTGCAGACAAACTGTTAAAAAGTTTTGAGGTACAAGTGAAAACCCATGCAACCTTCTTTTTTTTCCCCCATGACCTGATACTTTTCTTTCCCTTCCCCTGGCCTTCAAATGGACTTACTAATTTGTGGCAAGGACTGTTATGCAAACAGGCAATATTTGACCACCAGAAGTTAGTGGCATTTCTGAAGAAACCTCCATTAAAATCCATGGAAGTAGGAGAGCATTTGGTAGGAACATGAAGAGTGGGGAACATCAGTATTTTGCTGAAAAACAAGACCTAAATAGGATCAGTTGGCAGACCTGTGCATATCTTCATGTTAGTCAAATTTTCTTTATTCATTTTGTTTCTTGTCCCCTGTTTTCAACAACCCCCGTTTCATTTTTAAAAATTTCCACCTGAAAGAGAGCAGGCTTCTTAATTTGGAAGCGTGTTCCCTTGAAATCATAGAGCTACAAGTCAGTGAAATGGTGCTGGGAGAAGGCAGATCTGAAACTTCTTTTGTCTTAAGAACATGGAAAAAATTATCCCTAATATTTCTTTTCAGGACAGCTTCCTTCCAAAGGGACGTTTTACTACTGAAGTTGGGAAAAGCCAAGTCTTCTGTGTTATGGTCCAGAAAGGACTGCTCAACTAACATAGCACCAAGGCTGAGATTTTCAAAGGGAACCAAAGAAATGGTATCCATTGACAATCTCAGCACATAGGTTTTGAAAATCCCAGAACAAAGGCTTTGCACGTAGGCTTGCTTTTCAAAGAGGTGAAGAAGCCCACATCGGTTTTGTTACTGCCTTGGATGCCAATGGGCCAGTTCCCCAGGTTTGGTGTTGAGAAGACATGGAATCTCTTTCCTGTAAGAAGTGAGATGCTCCAGACAACCTGGCTGTGTTGTAGTGGCTTAGTGTTAATCTGCCTGGCTAGGATAGCCCAGTACTGGATGCAGCACTGTGTAAAATCGTTCAGGTATTGTGAAATACTTTACAATACAAGTCTGTGCTTCTGTCAGGTACTTACCTGGCAGCGATTACCATGGCATCTGAGTGCCTCACAAGCCACATTGCTTTTCTGTCCCCCAACATTGCTGTGAGATAGATAGAGGTGTGCAATTATTTCTTTTACAAATGGAGAATGGAGGTCGTTTGCCCAGGGATGTCCAGAACACCAGGGGCCAAAGCACAACCGTGAACTCCCATGTCTGAGGCTAGATTGCTGTTCCCTGAATAACAGCATTCATTTGGATAGTTTCTATCTGACGTGCTGTTTGATGTCTCTGTACTTCGTAAAACTTGCTTTTATTGAAAACGAAGAGAGTTGCTGGGTTTGGAGACCATTGCAGGCAGAACAAGAACATCTGACTCTGAGCAGGGGGATTTTAGGAACAGGGTAGCATGAGAGGAGGAGCAAAGGGCGCACATGAGGTTGCTGTCTGCCTGCATAGAAGGGAGCAGAAAGGGCCAGCACGGTCACAGGAACCATCCCTGGGCACCAGGCGATGACGACTAGAATCCAGCGGCCTTGAGCGGGATTATTTCCTGTGAAAGGCAAGTTGAATGCTCAGCTGGGCTCAAGATGGATAGGGGGGAGAGAGCACTGGCAGGCAGGAGTAATGTGAGGAGGTTGGGAGTTTACGTTTGAGAACTGAATTGCCAGAGTGCCAAGTAGCTCCCCAGTAACAGCCAGGAAGTAATCAGTACCCAGAATTACATGGCAGGGAGCTCTCAGGGCATGTCTGCTGCTCTCCTGGCGCTGATTAACCCAGGAAGCAGCCTGAGCATACTGATTTTCCTCTCTTTGGGTTCACAGGCGACAGCAGAGACCTCCAGGCGGAAACAAAGCGCAGCAGCACACGGATAATCAGCAAGGGAGCACCAAACACAACAGGGAACACCAGAAACTCTACCAGGGAGGCCAAGCCCCGCACTCCTCGGGGAGGACAGGCCACCATGGGTACAGCCAGAACCGGCGATGGCACCACAACCAGAAGCACTCGCCTAATGACAAAGAAACACACAGAAATGCCAAAGAGACTGAGAATCTGAAAATCGAGGATGCCTCTGTCTGCACGGTGCACATCCCCCTGGAGATGCACCGGAGCACAGAAGCGGTGGAGAAGCAGTCTCAGCAGTATATTCAGGAGCAGGAACCCAAGCGGAAAGATAGTATTCATGAGCGCATCGGGGAAAGGCCCAAAATCAACTTGCTTCAGTCATCCAAAGACAGACTGCGAAGGAGACTAAAAGAAAAGGTACTATTTTTCTTGAAGAAACTAAGTTTCCCTTCATAAAATCCCCAATTGCTGATCATCTCACATCTGTGAGGTTGGGTTACATGGGGTCCAGTTCGTGAGGGCGCCAAACTCACCTTCCAGACTCCTACAGTCAGTACTTCTGATGGGAGACCAGGTCTTTGGGTTCTTCATTAGGCCTTATTGGGTGGCACATCTTTGCTAGAATGGGCCCACGCATCCCCTGGCTATCCGCACCTGCCGGCAGGTACCCGTGAGGCCACTCTAGCCTTATCCCCAGCAGCCACTCAAGCCCAATGAAGGCTGAAGGCTTGAGAGCAGCCCCAGAAGGCCTGTTTTGGGGCAAGCAGGTCTATTTCTGGGCAAGCACAGCATGCTCAGTAGCATCATGTCTGCATGCCACCTCTATAGTGTAGATACAACCTGGATGTCACACTGCCCGGCCCCTCACCCACCTGATTGCCTGGTGTCTATATAAGGCAGGGATGGGCAAATGCAGCCTGTGGGCCAGGTGCAGCCCACCAGGCTATTCTATCCAGCCCCTGAAAAAATTAGAAAATTATAATTTACCTGCCCCTGGCTACATGTCATGCAGCCCTCGATGGCTTGCCAAAACTCAGTAAGCGGCCCTCCGACCAAAATAATTGCCTGCCCCTGATAGAAGGCCAAGGTTGCAAAGAAGTAATTGTGAATCCTCCCCTTACATCTGCACAAAACACAACTTGAAGAAGAAGGTTTACACACAGATAATGGGAACACATACACTTCTCAGGCTAAATGTAATTTCCAGCCGATTCTTTGTGGTGTTTCACATGCTCCATCTGGTTTGTGGACTACAAATACAGAATTCAGACTGAACATTGGATTGTTGGATTTAGCCACTTAAATTTGATATCCATCTGTCTCAATGGATGGATGGATATATATATATAAACACCTTCCTTCTGTTTATATATATAAACATCCTTCCTTCTTCCCTAAAGCGGCTCAGCAATAACAACACTGTTGTACACAAGTGGTGGCAGAAATGTACTTTTTGGAAACAATGTTCAGCTTCAACTTTTTACAGGTTCTTTGCTAAAATGTCAGTCTACACCCTGTGGACCTCAATTTTTTCTTAATACAAATTTATTTTTGCAGACTGAAAATGAATTTGAACAGCTTTCCCCCCCACAACAGATATATTCATTTTTAAAGCAAAAATAAACAAAGACAGCTATGTAGGGCAGGAAAAAAAAAAGAAAAGAAACTAGTGCATGAAACAAAATGAGCATTAACAGTTTTACAGTGCATGTGCATCCTTTTGAACGCGTGTTATCTACTCAGGCAATATGGGAGAGAGTGAAATACAGACAATGCTAACTGTGTTTAAAATTTAATTGTTTACTGTTTTTGTAAAGCAAAGATGATGCTGAGAATGGTTTAAAATATTCATTTGCAAGTTTGTGTCTATGTGCTGATATAGAAACTGCTCCTGCAAGTGCTTGCTTATTAAAATGTTCTTACACAGAAGCGTCCTCTGTGAGTCTGCTGAAATGTCTGACAAGTCTACGTAAATGAGAGCAGGATTGCAGGATCAGACCAATAGTCTTAATTCCTGGGAGCCAGGACCTTGTAAAATCAACCCACCAAGTAAACACTAGGCTGTGTTTATGCCCCATCTCCAGTGTTTAGTTTACACAGCTGGTCTCCTACCTTCACCCACCTGGTGCTGAGGCCGTACCTGGAGTTTGCTAAAGGTTTCAAGGGCTCTCCTATTGCAAGGTGCTTCCTTTCTGAGTAGAAAAGAGAGAAGTAGTTAGCCACGTTAGTCTGTAGTCGGGTACACTCTGCCCTGCGTTCTGCTTGAATAAGAAAGGAGGAAGAGAAGTGAATAGATCAGAGCAAGCGGGAGACCCCGCTGCTGTGTGTCTGTCCTTAGCAGAAAGTTTCACAGGAGAATTAAAAGTTGAGCTGCAGTGAAGACCATGCTGACTTAAAACTACATCAGCTGAGAGATGAAAACATTACAGCTCTTGTAGGTTCAGATTGGTTCAGATTGTGCATGTATCTCATGTGACAACCTTGTTAACTATTTGGGTCACTTAGTGTATACCCAGATCTAAGTAAGGAAAGGCCTTATTATCAGAGTGCCTCACAAACATGAATGGACGATTTTTCGTAAATATGACTGCAATGCATTGTTATTCCCATTTCCCAGATGAGGAAACTGAGGCACAACACAATGAAGTGACTTGCTCGTGATCACATAGGAAGTCTCTGGCAGAGTCAGGAATTGACCCAACATCTGAGTCCTAGTCCAGGCCTTAACTCAAACTTCCTCTCACTGAGAAGAGCATATGTACCATGACACTGGACAGATCTACACTGTATCACACAGTTTAGAAACACTCACATTAGCTCAGCTTATGGTAGCACAAAACTTCCAGGTTCTCAGCAGGGTAAATCAACCTGTGCAGAGCTGCGTAGTACCACCACTCTTCTGTTTCTAGTTCCTGACCTAGCTGTGAATGGCTGGGAAGAACAGGTGAGCTGTGTAGACGTACCCCGGGAGTCCTGCGAGGCAGAGAAAGGATCAGCATCTCCTGGGACTAACCTGCTGCAACTAATAAAAAAGGGAAAAGAGGAGAGAAGGTGAATAGAAAGTAGTAAGTAGGAGCATGGAGAGAAGATAAGAGGTGTGACATAATCTGGCCGAGTCCCTTGCTTCATAAAAGCAGCAGAGGGACCTGTGTCCCTCTCTCCTTAGCAGCGCTGGCTCCTAAGAGCATTGTTAGTTCTCAGTGCTTGAAGAGCCAGGGTCACCTGCTGGTGAAAATACTGCAGAAACCGCTGGTGTTTCTTACTACCGTAGAGACAAGGGCTCTGATGGGAACGACTGGTACTAGTACCGGTATGTGCCCAGCGGGATCCAGGTATTTGCAGAGCTAGGAGGCCTACAGCCAAGCTATAACTAATATTCACAAGTTCCTGGCTCCCCGCCTTGGTCTTAGACCACTAGAATATGCTTAATGTTTCTAGGCCTAACTGTATGACTCCCAAAATTCACCCCTATCCCCTTCATTGTGTTTGGAAGAACAAGAGCTGATCTATCTGTTTTTTCCTTGTGTAACAGACGCCTTGTCTTTCCCTTTTCACGGACCAGGACGAAGTCACGGTGGAGACGACCAACCCCGAAAAGAACAAAATGGACAAATTAATTGAAATCCTCAACAGCATGAGGAACAACAGCAGCGACGTGGACTCGAAGCTCACCACCTTCATGGAGGAGGCCCAGAACTCCACTAACTCGGAGGAGATGCTGGGCGAGATTGTCAAGACCATTTACCAGAAAGCAGTCACGGACCGGAGCTTTGCCTCCACAGCAGCCAAGCTGTGCGACAAAATGGCGCTCTTCATGGTGGAAGGGACCAAGTTCCGAAGTTTGCTCCTCAACATGTTGCAGGTAATTAGATATTTGCAGCTGCTCCCGGCGTGTAATTACTCGAAAGAAGTCCATGAATTCTGACCATAGCTGAGCTTTTCCCAAGCTCCATTCTCGCCCAATTAATTATAGAAAATGAACGTGTACGCGGGGAGAGGGCCACGGTTTTTGTGTTTTGTTTATGCAGGCGTTCCTTGGTTACAACAGACCAATATAATATTATAGGCACTGTCTGGTTAGTCTCCATCCCCATCTTCTCTTTCTATTTTAAAAACTCTGTTTAACAAATGCTCGTTGCACAGGCACAGTCCACCACGGTTTAACCCCCAAAGAGCTGAAATATTGGGGTCCTCAGGGCAGCAGCGAGAGGTATCGCTCCTCAGGTGGGCTGAGATTATTCCTATCTGAGGCGCACCCACAGTCTTTTTTGAGCAGTCTGGTTGGTGTATTGTGCTTGGTGCTAGGCCTGATCATTGTCTGGGACAAGCATCTTAAAATGTAAAAAGCCAAAATGGGCCCAGGCGGAGGAGGAAAGGGTTATTATCACAGTTTGTACAGAATGAGAATTGAGGCGCTGAGAGATTCAGTGAAGGTTGCGCAGGAGCGTCGTTCCCAGAGGTGTGAACCGAATCCAGATCTCTAGTGTCTCTGTCTAGTGCTTTTCTGCAAGGTCAGTGGGGCACTTGAGCTGACAGCCCTATTTTCGAAGGGAGGCAGACGGTCATTTTCGGGCGATAAACCTCACTGCTCCTAGGTGGTTCGGCCGGAGCCCAGGTTCAGGATGGTGCCCTTTAGCTTTGATCACTAAAGAAATCAAAGAAAATGGTTAAAATGGGACCTGTTGTAAGACCCTTCTGTGCAGTTTAGCCAGGCAATGTGCTGCTGGACAGTAGTTGCTGGCATCAACTTGCACAGCTTGCAGCTGAAACAGCTGCACTTACAACCCAGACGGCAATGATTTGTGTGTTTGCAGGTTGTTGATGATTATGGGTGACTTGTTTATCAGTACATGCAGCGCGGGCATTTGTGCACCATACCCCAAAACACGATAAAAGGCAAAGTCAATTAAAAAATGAACTGACAACCGTGGCAGTCGGCCATAAGAATGATCTATAACCAGGAAAATGTCCATGTCCCCTAAGCATCCAGCTGCATGCTGATTGAGAGCCCAGACTCGGGTGGCTGGCCTGGTTTATCGTGCAGTTCTGCAGCTGATCCCACAGTTAATGTATTTGTTTGCTTTGTGGAGGGGGGGGGTGTATCTCATACACCAAAGCCCCACCTGCCCCCTTCAGCTTACCTTGTCTATCCTCTGCTGACCCAGGGCATCGGCCACCCCTGACATTTTGTTTGTCCATGGCTGACCAGACAAGGCTGCGTCCAAAGCCCGTAGCATCGTTCCTGACTCGATCAGTCAGATCACAGAGCAGTGCATGGAGCTGCCTCCTCCTGCCTCTCCACCAGACTTGGATTGTGATCATCATTTGCACTATCAGACTTAGCCTATCTTGCAGCTTTTCA